ATATATATATATATATATATATATAAGATTACAAACAAGAAATGATAAATATTACTTCATAACATAGTCTATTTCAAAACTTTATATGAAATTTACCTGATTTTGCAATAACTTGTTAAACCAATGATACTTGATGATTATGTAACAGTTGAGTTGCAAATAACGAATCTATTTAAAAAGATGTATCGAATCAGAAATCTTTTTTCCAGTTTCCAAGTTATGTTACAAACATAGGTTATGTTCAATATTCTTACCTTTATTAGCCTTTCATCTTCTTTGGAAACTTCTATAGTATAAATGTTTCCGATATTAATATTTAATAATTATATAATTGTCATTATTATATAATATAAAACGTTTCAATAATGTTAATACCAAACGTTGAATCGAAATATAAAAGCACGATTATGGTTAGTAGTCTCTATCTTCTCGATTTCTTTTGTGCATTCAAAATTTCGCTTTAGCCGTACTATCTCTTCGGTAGAAGCATGGTATAAGAATATAAAGTATTTCATTGCGTATAATGGCCGGCAGATTAAATTAGAGCAATCAATCAAATATTTGTTTTAAATCGAAATAACCAATCAAATGCTTACTTAAATTTAGGATAAATTTTTGATTAATCAAAGAGCAGTCACTATGTTGAAGACAACTGCGCATCCTTGGGAATGAAATTACTTTATATATGCTTATATAAAAAATATATTTTATATTCTTATACCATAAATATTATAGAAGTATAGAAAATTATAGAAATATTGGGTCATCTAAAAAGTATCCGCGGTACTTTGTACTAGATGACCATCAACACACATTTATCAATTTGCTCCACAACTCAAAAATATTTACAATTCAAAGTGAGGTTTTCTTGTAAGCAAAATCTATATCTTATATAAATCTTTTTTCCATATCTTCTGGTTTTAATTTCCAGCCATTTAAGGAATCAAAAAGATCATCTATTAATTGCGCAAACTCTGCCGTTTGTAACGATTCTACAGGAAAACTTCAACAATCCATTGACATTAGATATACTAAAAGATTGAATTGCAGTAACAGATCGACTTAATTGACGCGTTGCAACTTTTACTCTCATTTTTACAAAGGAATCTTTGAAGTTAAAATCATTTTTATTTCATTTGTAAAGTTGCTTAAATGAAAAATTTTGCTCAACATCAAAAGCATTTTGAATATTAAAATTTAACTACTTTAAAATAACTTTATTATATTATTATTAATAACTTTATTATATTAAAATTTAATTACTTTATTTTCAGAAAATTTTATATCGGAGCAAACCATTACGAGTGCATTTCAATAAATGTGGAACATCATAAATTACTATGATTTCCTGGTTAACTACAAACGTATAACTAGTTAGGTCAACCTTATTCTCTGCACACAATTCGGATAGGGTTCTTCTTTGAGTGGTTTCCTTGGTCGCAAACTGTTACTTTTACTTTGATACCATCTCCTGAAGTTGCGAAATAATATTTATTATTATAGATTTTAGGTTGCTGCAGGAAATGGTATTAGCCATGAAGTAATAAGCAATTACTTACTTTCAAGATCTTCTCAGGCCACGAATCATAAAAACGAGCGCATGATTAACAGTTTTTAGAAGTTCGACCCAACTCATCTATCTTCATAATCTTCAGTAATCTGCTCTTTATGTGCTTCGTAATGATAACCTTTACTTAAGGATATTTCATCGAATACTAAAGTGCAATATCGATCTAGTTCGTCCATTTCATCGCTTTTTATTTTTAATTGTTCTAGAAGGAGTTCATTTATTCCAGTGTCAAAAGGAATCCTTGACAAAACTTGTTTTAGTATCCGGATTGATGACAATTGAAAGTAGGTGGACAAATATTTGTAGAGACAAGGATTCCGTTTGTACATCGACAAAACGAAAGTCTTATTCTCTTCTGTTCATCTTCTTCCAACAGGAGTGCGATCTGCATTTCATAATTGATAAAATTTGTTATAATGCTATTCAGTTTATTATTAATGCATTCAAAAACATTGTCGTCATACATAGATTTTAAGTTTTTCAAAGCATTCCTTTTGTCATGAAGCTGTTTTTTCATTTTACACAATTGTGCAGTAACTTTACGATGAATTTTATACATACCCCTTTTTCGCGGTGACATTGACTTTAAAGTTATTCCTATTTCTTTTAAAATTCCGTTTTTTCGTTTTTTTTATAAGAGTTGAAAAATCATCATTAAGTTCTAAATTATTAAAATTCTCATCATTATGATTTATATCCTTATAAATATTTAGCTCGGTATTATTTTTACTTGTTGAATTTATTGAGCAATTTCTAGAGTGACTATTAGGAAATTTAGTAGAAGTTATTTCATAAATCTTCACATATATAAAATGAGGCTCGAAAGAATCTATCAGTGAAAAATGTAAAAAAAAAACCGTCAGAATTGTCAACAGCTGTTCGGATGCACAGAAAATTCTTTATTTTCATGTGAATGTAACAAAATAAATAATATATATATGTTTCAACCCATCAATTCGAGTTCTTACCAATATAAAATATAAATGAAGTTACATAATTAATGCAAATTGATTCCAAAATGATGATTCCCGACAATTTAGTTCGCTCTTCTTTATCCAACTGTCAAATTAGCTATGTAATAAATAGCCCAATGATTATAAAAAAAATTAACTTATACAATAATATTATAAAAACTTACATAAAATAAAAACGAAGTCATATACATTGCGTCATTCGTTAGAATCACATCGCTCATTAGATTGTCAGATTTGCTGTGATCATTTAAAAGAAACACGAAAACGAAAAAATTAAAAAATTATTAAAATCATTTGTCTTAGTTTTTTATTATTAGGTGTACAACTTTGCTTCCGCCGTTTTCCTATAGATAACTTTAGCGGTAAGTGGTGGTCGAAATAAATAGATCATAGACATCATACAATAAACTTGGGCATCTGTCAACATAATCCCATAGAAACATTAGTCGATTTGTGTCAGCATCAAAGTTATTCTCGAATGAAAATGTCAGATTACGAGCCAAATTCTCGTCATTTGCGGGAGGTTTTAATTTTCTGCTTCAATATGAAAAAATCTGCGGCTAAGGCTCATCGAATGCTCTCAAATTATGGTGAGGCCGCTATTAGTGAAAGAACGTGTTGTGAGTGGTTTCAACGCTTCAAGAACGGTGATTTTGACGTCGAAGACCGGCATAGCGGTGGAAGAGAGAAGATTTTCTAAGATGCAGAATTGGAGGTATTACTTGATCAAAACTCGTGTCAAAATCAAGAAGAATTGGCACGATCATTGGGAGTGACTCAACAAGCCATTTCAAAATGCCTCAAAGTCATGGAAATGATTCAGAAGTAAGGAAATTGGATGCCGTACGAGTTGAAACCGAGAGATGTTGGCGTTTGTTTGCTTGTGAACAGCTGCTTGAAAAGCAAAGACGGAAGGGATTTCTGCATCGCATTGTGACTGGGGACGACAAATTGGTTCATTACGATAACCCCAAGCGCAGAAAATCATGAGGAGTTCCCGGCCATGCTTCCACGTCGACGGCCAAACCGAATATTCACGGCTCCAAGGTCATGCTCTGTATTTGGTGGGACCAGCTCGGCGTAGTGTATTATGAGCTGTTAAAACCGATTGAAACAATCAGGCGATCAGTATCGAACGCAATTGAGCCGAGCATTGAAAGACAAACGGCCGCAATACAACGAAAGATACGATAAAATGATTTTGCAGCATGACAATGCTCGACCCCATGTTGCGAAAGTGGTCAAGACATACTTGGAAACGGGAAGTTCTACCCCACCCGCCGTATTCTCCAGACGTTGCTCCCTCTGACTATCACTTGGTTCGATCACTGGCAAACGGGCACGGCCTGGCTGACCAGCACTTCCGGTGCTTATGAAGAAGTAAAAAATTGGATCGATTCGTGGATCGCCTCAAAAGATGATCAGTTTTTTCGACGCGGGATTCGTACGCTGCCCGAAAGATGGGAGAAAATAGTGGCCAGCGATGGATACTTTGAATCATAAATGTATAATCAGTTTTTTACAATAAAGCCTCGAATTTCGGAAAAAAACGGCGAAAGCAAAGTTGTACATCTAATATATCATCTTACATGTAAACGTTTTCTCACAACTCGATGTAAAGGTCTTGTGGTATCGACAGTCAGAGATACAATGAGAGTCAAAATAATAAAGTCAAATAATTATTGGAATAAAGTAACGATAAAAATAAAGATAAAAATACAAATAAGGAGAAAGGGGAGTAAAATCAATGTCATATTTGTATGACGCAAACAAATCCATGTATAGGGCCAAAAAATATGTATCTGTAAATTCAAACTCTGTTTCTGTTGCTTTATATGAATCACTTCCGAAATTAATCTTTTATTAAGTACCTTTTCTTCGTCTAATATCTGGATATTTTCCTAATCAAAATCATGTTGATGGCTGATTCTGTGTTCTGTTATTACGGAATGTTTCAATTTATGTGATTTCTATGTTCACTTATGCGTGTCTTCAAACATCTACCTGTTTGGCCCACATGCTTCACAATCTCGGCAATCAATTTTATACACAACGTCTGTATGAGATAGCTTAGGACGAACGTCTTTGTGACCCCTGATAAACCTCTAAGATTATTAATCCCTTTATAGGCCATGTGTATTAAGGCATCTTTTTAAAAAAATTTTTTTACCTTTTCTGATAAAAATGGTATAAAGGGGATTGTGAAAAACTAGAGATTAATTTTTTTCTTCATTATTGTCCGTCATCTTATCCATCGGTGTGTTACCCTGTTCATTCCATTGTTTAAATTTTTTGACAATCTATTTTTTATTTCAAAGAAAATGAGTTTCAGTGGATATCCATTGTTTAAAAGAATTTTAATAATTAATTCAAAATTCTCTTGATGGTAAAGATGATGGAACAGAGAAAGAATTCTATCAATTAAATTGATGATTGTTTCCACTTTTTGATATAAAGGATGTCTGGAAAATAATTAAGATAACGATCAGAAAATGTAGGTTTGTGGTACCAATTCTGAACAATAGAATTTCTCTTTTTAATTAAACTGACATCCAGAAAATCTAACTTGTCCCCACCTATTTCAGTTGTAAATTTTAATCTAGAATGGAATGAATGTATCAATGTGTGACGTATCATATGCTAACGGAATGTCATTAACATACCTTACATAAAAAGATGGTGAAATTGGAAATCTTTGTAATGCTTTCGTTTCAAGATCTAGCATAACAATATCCGCCACAAGATGATAATGGTGAATCGATCGGAACACCAAAGATCTGTTTATAAAATTTATCATTAAAGCTAAAAATTGTTGAAATAAGAACTAATTCCAACGCTTTAAAAAATTTCTTTTTGGAAATGCTCGTTTTTTTTCAATGAGATGCTATCTTCTCTCTATGCCTTCAAAAACCAAGTCAATAGGTACATTTATGAATAAGAGACCACGTCAAGGAATAGAAGAACTTCCTTGTCAGGATTGTCAAATTAGAAATGTGTTTAATCAAATGAAAACTGTTCTTGATAAAACTGTTTGCTACTGGTATACTATCATGCAGTATGTCATTTAAAAAAGAGGTTAGATTATAGAGAGAGTCCCCACAAAAATTTTTCCTGAAAAAATTATGATACGAAGTAGAAAACCTATCTTGTGTATTTTTGGAAGGCCATATGCAAGAAGCGCAACAGGAAGCGTTTAATTTGTTCTATACAGATACAGCTATATATTCATTACATAGCTAATTTGGCAGTTGGATAAAAAAGAGCGAACTAAATTGTCGGAAATCATCAATTTGGAATTTGCATTAATTATGTAACTTCGATTTATATTTTATATTGATAAGAACCTGAATTGATGAGTGGTTTGAAATGTATATATTTTATTCGTTTTATTACAATCACATGAAAATAAAGAATTTTTTGTGCATCCGAACAGCTGATGACAACTTTGACGAGCTTTTTTACATTTTTCATAAATCTTGTCGCTATTTACGGAAATGGAGATATCACATGAGGCAGCATTCGCAATTTTAAAAGAATCGTTACGAACGAAAGATTCTGATACAGCATTAATAAAAGAATGAGTGATTTCAAAATTTTTAGGTATAACATTTTTTTATTTAAAAGGTGCTTCGAAGAATTTCTTCACAAAAATGATCTTCGCAAATGTACAAATGACAATTGATTGAAGTATCAATACAAGCAAGCTTCCATTTCATGCAAGTGTCGGAATTTATGGGGATAAAAATGTTTGTTAATAATTTTATGGGCCTTACCTTTCGACCAATAGTAGCTGTTGCGAAATTTAGGAAACATACAAGAAAATTTTTTTCACGAAGGCATTATAGAAAATATTTCAAATGACATTAATATTCTTTTGTAGAATTTAAATAAAACAAGAAGAAATTTAATTAAATTGAAATCTACACAAACTAATGTAAATTGAAGCTCTATCCAAGAAATTAGTTAAATATAATCGTCAAAAGGAACCTATTAACATATATTACTAGTTTTTATCTTACATATTTTAGATTTTAGATTAGATTTTATTTTAGATTAGATTTTAGATATTTTCTTTTCGTTCGAAGTACATAACTTAATGAGAAGAATTTATATCTAATTTGAGCTTGTTAAGTCCATGTAATTGTAGAGTTTATGTATGTGTCCGTCAATTTTAATCAGTCTTTTTCGGTAAAAAACAATTTTAATTTGTCATGTAAATTTATTTAACATTGAAAATGACTTAAGTAATATAAAATTGAAACATCTGTTTTTATTTTATATAATTTTAAAAAAGATTAATTTGTTAGCAACTAATAACTGTTGCTGTTAGCTCCTTGTATACTTTGAATTTATTTAATGGAGATTAATCTTTATCACGATTCTAATATGAATAAGAATATAAATGAAATACTTAATAAAAAAAAGAACTTAATCTATATCTTTATCTGTATTTTTATCTGTAATTTTATTTGTATAATAATGAACTTAATCTTAATTGTCCAATAGCCTACCAACTGACAACATTTTCTTGATTTTCTCTTGATACTTGATGATTTAAAATCATTCTCTTGATACTTGATGATTTAAAGTCATGTAAGATTGATTTCTGTCTAACTTCGAATTCTTTGTTCTTCCTTCACAATTCTTTTTTT